ATGTAGGAGTGGAGCATGGGCCGTTTGGGGTCTCTTTAGTCTCATCCTTAAGAACCCCAAAACCTGCTTTTGAACGGTAGGTTGCTACCAGAGCAACCTACAGAAAATTACGTGTTGGGTTCTTAGGGCATTCCTTATCGTTTAGCGTACCAAAAGGGGCCTAGAATTTGGATCGACAGAGCTGCCCAGGTCTATGCGCGCACGGGGAGTACCAGCAGGGACATCTCGCTCTTCCTCGTTGAGAAGGGCATGAAGGGCTTTTCCTTGGGCCAGAAGATTCAGGCCAGATTCCTGCATTGTTGGAAAGGGTTTTGGGTTTGGGGGTTTAAAGTTAGGGTTCAGGGACGATAGAAATTCATCTTGAAAAGGGTTTTGGGTTTTGGGTTTAAAGTTAGGGTTCAGGGCCGATAGAAATTCTTAACACCGCTGATCGAGGCCGTTGCGCTTAGAGGGCTTGCCTCACGTCTACGTGGACCTCGCAGGTGCCCTAAACCCTAAACCCTAAACCCTAAACCCTAAACCCTAAACCCTAAACCCTAAACCCGGCAGGATAAGTGCGGCATGCGGGCGTCCATGACGGCCGAGTTGGTCTTCCAGGTGCCGAGTTCCGAAAAACGACCTGCTTTGCCGAAATTGAGTTGCTGTGACATGAAAGGTCTTGCCTTCATATGCAGGCAAACCCCTAAACCCTAAACCCTAAACCCTAAACCCTAAACCCTAAACCCTAAACCCTAAACCCTAAACCCTAAACCCTGAACCCTGAACCCTGAACCCTGAACCCTGAACCCTGAACCCTAAACCCTAAACCCTAAACCCTATCATCATTTTGGATTTTGGGCAGTGGGAGAGAGTGGCTGCAGCTGCACGTGGTCGGGAACATGAGGACTGCCGCGTTCCGGCATCCAACCTCGTCGGCGAGGAAGGCCGAGCTATCAGATCAGCTTCATCCCCCTAAACCCTAAACCCAAACCCTAAACCCTAAACCCTTCAGGCAAATTTGCAGCATTGTTTTGGAGCTTTCGCCTCTTGTGTCCGGTTGCCTTCGAGTCGTGCGACATGTGTGGGCTGTATTTGCAGCGCAGGCAAAGCCGCGCTGTGTATGATGAGAAACCTGGAGATCGAGAGAGAGCCGAACTCAGGGTTTGGGAGCAGCTTAGTAGTAGCATTAGTTACTGTTTGTTATTATTATGACTATTAGTATTCTTATCATTATTATTATTGTGTATTGGTGCTTATTGTGTATGATCAGTTGTGGTTCCGGTGACTATGAGCAGAATTTGCAATCAATCCCTCAGAGTGAGCGCGCGGGGGCGTCTGAAAGCTTACAGCAGCCACTTCGTAACCCGCCAAATCTACCTTGCAGGGTGGTTGTCGCACGAGGCTTTGTGCTGTGGTAAGGGGGTTGATGTGCTTTGGGTCTACCGTGCCACCCTAAACCCTAGCCCTAAACCCTAAACCTGAAACCCTAAACCCTCAACCCTAAACCCTAAACCCTAAACCCACTCAGGTCGCGCTTGCATCGATGAGCCTCGGCATTGCCAGGAGGTGTATAGAAGAGATGAACAGGCGCCTGCTGGGTGGTCGTTGAAACGTGTTTAGGGTTTAGGGTTTAGGGTTTAGGGTGTGGGGTTTTAGGGCTGCTGGAGTCAGACCGCCGAGTCTTCCTGTCCGAGCTGAAGAGACAGTACGTCCTGATTCTACAGCAAACCCATGACGGCGACTTGATGGGACCCTAACCCCTAAAAACCCTAAACCTCTGGACCCTAAACCCTAAACCCTAAACCCTAAACCCTAAACCCTAAACCCTAAACCCCTCAAGTTTGCACCCCACGAGCCAGGTACGCCAAAGATCGGAAGGCCAGGCTTGGGAAGCTTACAGCCCAAAGAGCCCCAAGCCTGTGTTTTGATTCCCATTTTGGCATCTTCCGGGGATGAGGAGTACGATGGTAGTTCGAGGTGTATTTCTAGAAAGGGTCCCCTACTTGAATGTTCATGGGTACGTATAAGAAGGTTATAACCATAGTTGCCCTACCTACAATCCACTTGTAAGTGCTCACGACCCTCGGGTTTACGAAATTCGGGGTACCTTATGGGATCCTTGTTATCAGGGGATTCTAGTAGTTGGGGGTCTATGTTAGGGGCCCCCTATTCTCGTAAACCCCCAAACCCTAAACCCGAAACCCCAAACCCCAAACCCCAAACCCTAAACCCCAAAACCTAAACCCTAAACCCCAAACCCGAAACCCAAAATAAACCCTGAGATCAGGCCTTTGGCTCTCAGCTGAACAGCTTCGGCCAGATCCAGCGCTTCATCGCTGAGTCCTACGCCGAGTACCAGGCCGCCTTGCCGGGTGAAGGGTTGTGGGTTTCGGGTTTAGGGCTAGGGTTTAGGGCTAGGGTTTAGGGTTGTGGGTTTGGGGTTTAGGAGGTTCTCAGCAGGGAATGGCATGGGGTTTGGGGTTTAGTTAGGGTTTAGGACGTCCTTAGTAGGGAATGGAATGGGGTTTAGGGCCTAGGGTTTGGGGTTGCGGGTGTAGGGTTTAGGGCTGGGGTGGCTCAGCATTTATCACGGCCTGCAAATACCCCAATAATCGACATCTCAAATCTCCGTCCCCTCAGGCCTTTGTGACGGGGGTGCGGGGACTCTCTAAATTGTGGATCCTGTTTAGTTTTTGGGATCGGATTTGCCAGTGCAGCGACTGCCGCTCCTCCCTGGCCTTCGCCAATCAGAAGCTGCGTCCTGTGAAAAGCAGAGTCCCGAAGCACCTTAAAACGGCACTCGTGGACAAGTCCACGCGCGTCGCGTTCGGCCAGCTTGCGTCCTGTAGGTGTAGCCTCCCCTTGCGTTTCGAAGTGCACACAGCTCCCCTCATAGTCCTCGAAGGAAAATGCCTGAGGCGATTCGGACATCCCAAGACTCGATGGGTGCGTCAGATTCAAGTCTCGGCATACGTGAGGCAGGCCGCAGCTATGTGTACCAGACTGCCAAGCACCTGAAGCTGGAGTCTGTAGGACTGAGCTTGTTTGTTGCAAAACTCCCTAGTAGAGGGGCCTGACCAGTTCTTCGCCAAATAGGGGTACCACTTTATACCCCAAACATAGCAGGACCCCTTTGATAAGGACCTCTAGACTCTACCCTTGACTTTGGGAAGCTTCCATGGCCCGAAAACGACCGCTTATTCTTGTCGGCTGCGAGGAAACGGTTTGGACGCCGATGGGGTGAAGCTGTACTGCGGCCACATGGGCAAGATGGTGGCTGACCGCGCGATCCAGGCTTCGGGCTATCATGGGATGATATGGGATCTGGCCTAAACCCTAAACCCTAAACCCTAAACCCTCAGCCCTAAGCCCTAAGCCCTAAGCCTTAAGCCCCAAACCCTAAACCCCTAAGACCCCTAACGCCCCAAGCCCCAAAGCCTAAACCCCACACCCCCAAACCCCAAACCCTGCCCCGGCCGCCAAAGATTGCAAGGTACTGGGCGGCTACGGTTACGTGGGTGAGTACAACGTGGAGAGGCTTTGGCCACACCCCTGGCTTCTCAGGGCAGCTTCTCAAGCCGTGCAAGCTGGGAATTAACGCAGGTCTTCTTGCATAATAAGAAGAACAATGTAGTAATCATAAGAGTAAAGATAGCAGTACCACATTATATAAGAATCATCTGATAGAATACGACTATTTACTGACATGTACATACAAACAATAATCATAATCTAGTCGATATGGCGGTGCAGACAGTGATCCCAGGCGCGATGCCAAGCTCCTCGAGATCGGAGGTGGCACCAACGAGGTGCCTGCACGTGTGGCATTCCGTCGATCCTGCAGTGATTATATTCTTATAACGTTCTTGTATTCCTGTATTCTTCTTATCTTAGATTCTTACATTCTTATGTTCTTACATTTTTACATTCTTATAGTCTTGTTTCTTCTATTTATGTGTATATGTACATCATCAGGGTGCTGTGAGCCATGCAAAAAGTTCTGCGTCGAAGGCGCACCACAAGAACATCGTCAGAGATTTATCCCGACAGGCCGCCCCGTGCCACACGGGTTTTTGAAGCTCCGCACACGACGTTGGCCCGAGCTCCCTGCGGGACTTTCCTTCGCCCAAACAGTTTTGCTTTGGGACGTGGGGGGTTTACCAAAATAGGGGACCCGAAAGATAGATCCCCAAATAGTAGGAGTCCCTTATAATTCATAAGGACCAGTTAAAGACCCCAGTAAGGTACCCCTAATATCGTAAACCCCCACATTGGCTTGGCTGCCGTTTGGCTCACAGTGCGCCGGCTGCCCCTGAGAGCGCGCTTGAGCCAAAGTAGGACAATTCAGCCGCTCGCGAAGTAAACTCGCGTACAATGACGGTATACTCATAGTATCCTCCAGGGACTTACAGGCATTTCCTGAATTCTGCACCCGAAGATACCACGATCCTGGAACCTAAACACCACCCATGGAGCAAAGCGGTGCTGGAGACCCCAGCCGAAAGGGGCCAGTATCTTCGACCACTCCCCCCCTAAACCCCGAAACCCGCAACCCCAAAACCCTAAACCCAAACCCTAAACCCTAAACCCTAAATCCTAAACCCTAAACCCTGAATCCTAAGCCCTACATCTGCCTCATGGCTGGAAGCATGGCCCAGCTGCTGCTTCTCGCCCAGGCGGCTCTGCAGCAAGAGCAGCGGCCGTCGTTTCTCTAAGCTAGGGTCCCCTTAGGGTTTAGGGTTTAGGGTTTAGGGTTTAGGGGCCTTGAAGGTTCAATGGTACTCATAAGTGGGGCTAGAAGTACCCTGAATAGCAGGGTCCTCTAGTCCTTGAAACCATGGGTACTCACAAGTGGGGCTATAATACTCTTCCCCAAAGCCTGGATGGTCACGTCTCTAAAATCTGGTCCCCTTTTGGGTTGCTATTGTACGGCGGCCTCGAATATGTAGCGTACCCCAAAAAGGGGACCATAATGTAGAGAGCTGACCAGAGAACCTTTAAGATGAAGCATGCCGCGAGGCATGAAGGAAGGGTCCGCCGCCAATAACTGCGGCTACGCGCTGACGGCATGGATCACCCTAGGCGCCACTTTTTGGGGGAAGCTGCTTGAACCAGCAGAGCTTGGGGATCATGGAGCCCCCTAAACCCTAAACCCTAAACCCTAAACCCTAAACCCTAAACCCTCCGTTCGTGTGTCCAGGCTTCCTTCATGGAGGCCACTGGTGGGTCTTTCCCTGCCTTGCGCAAGACTCAGACCAGGACTGCCTCTGTTTAGGGTTTACGGTTTAGGGCCCAGGGTTTAGGGTTTCGGATTCTGCTGCATTCTGTTGAGCTCGTGTTGTGAGAGGAGTGGTTTTGTAGATGGCGCGCTGCTTCCTACGTCGTTGGCATCCTGGTCACGGCTGCAGGCCTTGTAATATAGGGGTCAAACTAATTACGAATAGTATTCCCTTATTATGGTCCCTGCATAAGCATATTGCAAAAACAGCCCCCAAAACCCCATTCCAATTATTAAGGCCCCTATATTAGCCCAGGGGTCAAGAAAACCGGAATCGAAAGACGACTGTCCACGCCAGGCGGTGCCTACTGCCGGTCAGGGACCGCCCGAACATGCCCGGGCGGCGAGGACATGAGCCCCGCCTCCCCTTTATTGATCTGGGTCTTGGAGTACTATACTTTAATACTTTTTTTGGTTCTGGGTTCCTATTATAGCTACTCATACCTAAAAAGTATATACTTTTTTCCAGGGTCTACTCCAAAGCTAAGTGATTCTTTTGGACAGTTGAGTGTCGTACTTTGGGGATGTTCCCCCTTATACTAGCAGTCCTTAACAGGGGCTGTCATAAGGGTACCCAAAGTTCCCATTACGGACTGTTCGTATTTGGGGGAACGAGCAGGATACAGAAACAAAGCCAAAAAGAACTAAGAATCAAACACAGAAAAACAAAGAAAATAATAAGTTTGATAGTAAACATTGCCGTCTTAACTGGTATTCGAGGCCCGAAGGATCACCGAAGGGCCGAGGGTCCCCAATTGGCAGGCGGGGCGAAATGGACCATTCCATGGGGGGTATCAGGGGGAGGGGGAGAGGGGGAGGGGTATTTAAGAGATGTATTATTTGGTGTAAAATTGCTAATTGGTGTAAAATTGCTAGTGGTTCAAGATGAGGGTCCAGAGTCGTGCCTTCTCAATGTCACAATCAACAAGGTGCAGCTCGCGCCTCTTGCAGTCAAACGCGGGCGGCGCCGCAATTGCTCACCAAAGGAAGGGCAGCAGAGAGTGCAAATGAGTGCAAAGCAGATGTTGTGACGAGTTCAAGGACAGACACGTAAGAATCACGAAGGAACGGAAGTCTCACTATGGTAGGGCCGGGGCGATATGAACAAGTCAACTGCTGAATCTTCAGGATCCCCTCTCACTTGCTTGAACTCACTCCCCACAGAGTCTCCACGGTGGTTGAGGGATTTTTAATTTAAGATCCCAAGATTCATGAATTCATGAACCTTTAAGCATGTCACGGCGCCAAGGAGTCCCGGTTGTCTCTTTGCTGAGCAGACGATTGCATACCAGACCATCTACATCCTCCACTACGTCGGACTGGCCTGGATTTTCGCCCACTGGGTCATGGATGGCTTCCACCTTTGGTCAGGACCTTGGTGCGGCAAGCTTCAGCAGGCTACCGCGTGCTTCCGAACGGGTTTAGGGTTGGGACGGGCATGTGATTCCGATGAAGTTCGGTGAGTTGCAGTGTAAGGTCTTGGTCGCAGCAGCTCGCCCGTGGAGAACCGCTCAGGCATGCGGAGGGGGTAGGGTTTAGGGTTTAGGGTTTAGGGTTTAGGGTTTAGGGTTTAGGGTTTAGGGTTTAGGGTTTAGGGTTTAGGGTTTAGGGTTTAGGGACGTGTAGGATAGTGAGTCGCACAGAGCTGCGTCTTTAGATTTATTTGGGATGACCTTGCCCAACCGGGCATCCTGGCTAATGAAGCCCTATAAACACCCTGTAAACCCTATAAACATCCCGTAAACCCTAACTATCTTTACCCTATACACGCCCTATAACAAAACCTAATCAAGAACCCCATCACGACCCTGTCAAAACCGATAAACGCCCGATCAAAAACCCTGCAGAAACCCTAAAAACCTACAGTATCACTTCCAGCTTCGGTCGAAGAGGGCTTTTAACAATCCTGGTCTTTCAAAACCCTGGTGTCAGGCTTCTTGCAACCAACGCCTGCCTGGGCAGAGCCTCGGTGCAAGGGAAGCTGCGGACTGAGGGTCTCGGGCTTTTGGGGTCTTTAGGGCGTTGAGGGCAGAGTTTCTAGGGTTTCGAAGGTTGTTGGTGTCTTGAGCCTTTTTTAGGGTTTAAAGGGGATATAGGGTTTTCAAGGGCTCATGGGGTTCAGAGGGATTTCAAGGGTTTTTGGGGGGTTTGTGGGGTCTGTGGGGTTGTAGGGCTCTGGGCTGACCATGCCGATGTCTCAGGATACCTCTATAGCAGCATCCTGTGGTGTGCGGTGGCGCTGGCCACACTGACCTGGACGAGCCCCGATGAGAGATCTTAGTCTTGCGGTTTGCTATAGTTTGCGGCAGGTTGGGTTGGCTGTTGCCACGAAGGATTTGGGAATGACAGACCAGAGAAGGCAAGCCTGATTTTGGAGACTGGCAACACACTCTGACTCTGCCGTGCTGCCAAGTGTTGTTCAGTCGTTTCGTGAATCGGCCGAGTCGACTGCAGTAGGCTGCAGTGACTTGCAGTGACATGCAGTGACTTCCTCCTGGGCTGCAGCTAGCGATGTGAGACATCCAAGGGTGCTCTTCGAGTGGACCACCGGAAATGCCGAGCAACCGAGCACTCTGAACACCTTGGCGGTCATTCTGCTCATGGCGACTTGGTCCACTTGGAAGAATTCGGCCAACCCTCGGGTTATCTCGGGTTAAAAGGTGGAGAGCATCTGTTTTATGAGGCAGATGAAGGCAGCAAACAGAGGTTGTTCTTGGAGGTTACAGCAACGGTTCAGCTTCACATATCTTCCTACAGGGCTTGACTTTCTCTTGCTTAAGCTGGAAAGGACAACGTGACCTCGCAACGCCGATCGGCGAGTAAGTTCAATTTTCGCCTTTGTTTTGATGTGCTCGTTTCGATGTGCCAATGTATCTTCCGTCCTTGCGCGGCGGGATGCCGCGCATGACGGGAGCCAAACGAAACACGTTCATTGTGCATGGTCCTCATCATCCTGCATCTAAACCCCCCCCCCCCAGAGTATGTAAAACGATGGTCCTTTTTATGGGTTCCACCCTAAACCCTAAACCCTAAACCCTAAACCCTAAACCCTAAACCCTAAACCCTAAACCCTGTGTTTTTTACATGCCTCGCGGGTCCATGTAATCAATTTGTTTTCACAGCCGCACCTGAGGAGTTCATTGCGGTGCTGCTGCTCTCCTGTCAGGGCCCTCAGGGTTTAGGGTTTAGGGTTTAGGGTTTAGGGTTTAGGGTTTAGGGCAGCCGTTCGCTCTAAGGATGCGACCTCGTAGTCATGTCGGGGGTTTCCAAAATTAGAGGGGGGTACCCTTTTTGGGTGTCCCTTTCAGGGGGATGCTATTCTACTTGGGGATAAAAAAGGGTTTACGGTTTAGGGTTTGGGGGGGAAAAAAGGGGTACCCCCGGTGGTACTAGTTCGGGAAATGCCCTGAGATGCCCATGTTCGTCGTGTCTCTTCAAGAGATGTTGGCACGTGATGTGGTCTTAAGGCCTGGTTGTACGTATGTGGTCTGCCTACACAGCACGGAAGATCACGGCGGGCGCCCCGCCACTTGCTTGCAAATATGACGACGGGACGAGAAGTTACATATGTTGGCAGCCTCTGAGTTTAGGGTTTAGGGTTTAGGGTTTAGGGTTTAGGGTTCAACGGTGTTCTGCCCTTGCTGCAATCCCAGGTAGGCTTTTTCCAGGGCAGGGTGGGAGGCAGCTGCTGAGCTTTCTCTCGGGGCATCTCCCGGCCTTGCCTTTCGGCCCCTCATTTGCCAGGACGGGCGATTATACCCTATAACCCCTTAACAAGGCCCTTTATAGGGTTGATTATGGGGATCATAGGGCCTCGTAGCCCCTCCTGGTAGTTCGGGCTTTGTCAGGGGCTTGCCAAGCAACCCGCAACTGTCAAAGAATGCACGGGGCCAGCTGCGCCAGCGCGACGTCCGGGCAAAAGAGACACGGAGCCACAGGCTGCATGAGAAGCAGTCAGGGGGTCTCATCATCTACCAGTTGCTTAAGAACCCACCCAAAATACAGAAAGTCTTCCTTATAAGGGTACTAGAGGGATTTTTGATTTTTTTGGGGCTTCTTGAGCAAATAGTAGTCAACTGAGCGCCTCTTGGGCATCTTTGCAGGTGGAGAAGCTGCCCTGAGGTCTCGAGATCGATTAACATGGACTACGTCTGTACCGGCCTCAAGAGGCACAAAGCTTGCACTTGGAATTTCCAGCGACATGCTCCATTCCCTGGGTCCTTGTTGGTGCTAATTTTGCATTTTTGTCATGATAAGTTCCCAATAAGGAACACACATGATCATTTTCTCAGTAGAACCCCAACAGGGAAGCAATTCCGAGGCTGTGCATAAGATCCCCTCGTGCCGGCTCCTCAGCGCGCGGGGCAACTTGCATCGCAGCGTCCGCTGAGCCGACAGCGTTCGGGAGTCGCCAAGGTTGGTCGTGTGCCCCACGCAATCCCCACACGCGGAGTGCGGGAGTATGCGGGAGTGTTTCCTGGAACAGATTCGGGCTCAGATCTTTCAACAACTTCTGTCAGTGTCATCAGCGGCATTCACGAGTCCACTGTCAGCCTATGTACTTGGAGGTTCATGGGTAGGCGTAAGTAGGGGTATAAGTACCCTAAGTTTAAGGTTCTAACCAGTTTTCTTTATAGTTACCCTACTTATACTCCCACTTATAACTACCCATGAACCCTCAACTAAGCCTGAAAGACAAACAAGCATGCAAGCACAAGGCGCTACAGGTCTACGCAGGTCTACAAGATGACTTAGTCAGGTATACGTCAATTGGCCTCTTAAACGAAATCCTGTCTATCACGATGACGTTTCCCCTACTACAGGAAACTACGTACACATATATATATATATATACATAATATGTATAGGTATATATATATATATATATGTATATAGATCTGTTGCAAGAGCTGCTGCCCGACCGCCGGCTCTCGTGGGCGACGCCCAGCACCTTCAGCAGGGTTGAGCCACGAGCTTGCGCCGAACGCGGAGTGCGTAGAGCGTTGCCCAACCGCAATATTTGGGAGTTGACCCCTGACATCGTCAACTCCGATATTTCATCAGCAATGCTCAAACCTGCCAATGGTGGACCCCCTTGACCATTTGAGTGTCTGCAGTGCTGCCACGTCCTGCCCCCACAGAACCCACGGGGTCTGCACGGTTTGCATTTGGCTTGCCTCTGGCCCGCAATCTATGAGCGTACCTAAACGTCGGCAGAGCTGCGAATTCATGCACAGATTTTGGATCCCTAAACCCTAAACCCTAAACCCCAAAGATGTTGGAGCCCTGCCGTAAAGCGGCGGCCCGGGACCTCGGCCGAATGTGCGTTTAGAGGAGCCTCTGGGCTTTCTTTACCGAACGTTCAGAAAGTGGGCGGGGTTTGGGGTTTGGGGTTTGGGGTTTAGTGTTTAGAGTTTCGGGTTTAGTGTTCCTTTCCCTGTTGTCTCATGTTATTCCTGCTGAAGTTTCGTGTTCAAGCGAGCACGGGCATTGGTCTCAGATGCACAGAGAGGGTTTCCAGCGTGTGGCATGCTAGAGGCGCGGTTCCTCTCTCAGTCCTATTGGGCATTTCCCAAAGTAAGGGTACCCCTGGATTGAGAAACCCCAGAGCAGCAGAAGCCTTATCATAATGTAGGAACCCCCCCAAGAGGGTAGCCCTAGGTCCGGACATCCCCATTTCTGTGAAGCTTCGAGGCGTTTTGGCTTTCAGAGTTCCTTTGCCGAGCTCCAGCCCCGACTTGGTTGAACCCCAATCTTCCCATCTCTTCCCAAATCACAGAAATCCTTGAGCCCTCAATGGTTCCAATTTTGGGCCCCAATTGAGGCACAAAATCTGAATATAGCCTTAAACCCCATAAACCCCAACAACCCCCGCAAAGTATCCTGAGATTCACACCAAACCCTAAAGCCCGTCGGCCATTAAATCCCTAACATCTGCCCTAAGCCCTAAACACTCTACAGGCCCTAAGCCCTGAAACCCGAAACCTCAAACCCGAAACCCTAAACCCTAAACCCTAAACCCTAAACCCTAAACCCTATCAAGCCCGCAGTCCCCAAAAACTTCTGCACTCAGCTGAGTCAGCCGGGTGTGTCACATGGGGGCCTTTTGGGGGCCATGCCGTGCCTGGCAAGCCCACGGCCCAGAGTCCCACAACTGTCACGTCTTGGGGTTTAGGGTTCAGGGTTTAGGGTTTAGGGTTTGGGGTTTAGGGTTTAGGGTTTAGGGCTAGTGCTACTCCTTCCTGCCTTGGGGACCAAAGGAACCTCAAATTCGGGATCAGAGACTGCTACACGACTAGAATCCCAGTTAAGGTACATGGACCACAAGCCCTTTTCAGATACTGCTGCTGCTACTACTACTGGAAGGACGCGTGCGTTTTTTAAAGGTGGATACTTGGTGACATTTACGATTCCACATTCTCAAGAAGTGAGCGCCCTCTTGGGGTTTCGCGCTGGCGTTGTTTCTGCGTGTAAGAAAGGTGCGTTTGGCGCGATGAAGTCCGACGAAGTGACTTGAAGTGGTCGTCGTTGTCGTGCTTGTTAATGGTCGTAATTGATGCAATTGTGTTGTTTGTCAGTGTCACTGTTACGCAGGCTCCTTGTAGTCAAGGCGGCCGAACATGGCCCAAGTTTGGTTTACCTTCGCCCCGCATGCAAATAAGAGGTCGTGGATCGTCCAAGCTGAAATCATTGAGACTTGCTCCCTAAACCCCAAACTCCTAAACCCTAAACCCTAAACCCGTTTTGAAAAATGCAGCTGAAGGCTTCCTCCTGGTAAGCCTGGCGGCGCTCGATGCATCAGTGCGAGCCACAATACTGACGATGCAGTATGTATGGGCGCGCAACGAAAGTGAGTTGATTACAGCGGACAGACCCAGCTGCAGTTGCAGGGATGGCGGTTGCAAGTGGAAAGGCATGCTTCAGAGCTGGATACCCCCTGCCGCCTATTGAAATCTAATCCCGATCAACTTGCCTCAGCTCGGGTTGTTGACCATTCGCCTGCCGAGGCCCAGGAACCTGTCGCGTGCATGATGCGCCAGTGTGCCGACCTCATTCAGTCTCTGGTACGTGGTGCTGGAGCCACCAGGCTGTTGCCACGTGTGCGCGAGTGCACCCGAGCATACTCGGAGGAGTTGTAGGAGAGGTTAAAACCACCAGACCCTGTTCTTTCTTAGGCCTCCCAGCAGACACATCAGTGGCTGGCGGCATTGGAGGACAAAGGCCATCTAGTTCTTTGATGTCGGTGGAAGGGTTTCACTGTGCAAGGGCCGTACAAGTAGCGCTTGCCACAAGAGACTGTGCACTTTGAAATAGCAGGCTGAGTCAAGTGAGCATGTCCCAAAATAGGCCCCGTATATACCCCAAAAACATGAGATTCCTTATTCCCTCCAAGAGGGTCCCTATTTCAAGAAGCAAAGCTCATGAGCTTGCCTGCAGTTCGAGCAGCCAGTGCTGACTGTATTGCATGAGCTCCTCCATGTGCTCAAGGAAGGCACTTTCCTCCAAACCACTGCGTTCCAAAAACAGATGATTGACATTCGCGAAACTCCCCAAACCCCAAACATTGAATCCCGGCCTCTAATCTGTACTACTGTACCATGGCTCTACCGCGTAGTTGAGCATAGTGGTCCGGCAATGCGCCAGAACGCCTTGCTGCCAAAGCTTCGCGCAGGGCGGCTGTTTGACGGGCAAAGAAGGTCGTGCGTTGGATCAGTTCCCTAAAGCCTTAATTTTATACACCCCTCAACCCTAAACCCTCAACCCTTAACCCCAAACCCCAAGCCCCAAACCCGAAACCCCAAACCCTAAACCCTAAACCCTAAACCCTGGCCCTTACAATCGCCCGGGAGATGCGCGCCGCCCTGGCCGAGCGAGCGCGGCGCGCTGCCTCGGCGCTTCGGGCGCCCCCGCCCACCTCGGAGCGCCTTGTCTTGGGGGAAAAGAAAGGCTTAGGGTTCAGGGTTAGGGTATAGGGTTTAGGGTTTGGGGTTTAGGGTTGTTTTCTCAGAGTGTTGGAAAATATTTCCCTCGCCCACCTCGGAGCACCTTGTCTTGGGGGGTGGTTTCGGGTGGTTTGTTTCAGGGTTTGGGGTTTAATTAGGGTTTGAGGTTAAGGGTTTAGGATTTAGGGTTTAGGGTTTGGGAGGTTGATGTTGGGGTTTGGGTTGTGGGGCGGTTTTCGGCTTCAGGGGGGTTTGGCCAGAACCCTGCAGGGTTGAGGAATGAGGACGTTCCACCCGGAAAATTCCTGAATCAAGGGGTTTTTGGCGTCCCTGGGCGCAGGCACGGTTGAGTTCCAGGAGTGGTCAGAGATGCCTTGAGCAGCTGGAAGTTTTCCATATTGGGGGTAACTTCTTGGGATTCTTATCATAAGGGGATCCTACTATTTGGGGCTCTATATTATAGGGGTTCCTTGTTACCGTAAAACACCCCCCCAAGCTGCCGTTGCTGTAAGGTTGGAGGTAGTGCTGCGACGCGTGACGCATGCTGACTGCGCAGCAATTCCGGCCGAGGCCTGCAAAGATCTTGTGAGGGTCACTGCAAGGTTTGGTTTAGGGTTTAGGGTTTAGGGTTTGGGGTTTGGGGTTTGGGGTTTGGGGTTTAGGGTTCCCAGCACCACCTGAAACTCAGTCGGGGGTTTACGAAAGGGATCCCTAACATAGACCCCCAAACAGTAGGAGCCCTTTATAATACGAAGGACCCCAATAAGGCACCCCCTCATATCGTAAACCCCCCAGCTCCGCCTGAGTGGCATGACAGAAGGACCTAGCCACGGCGGTGAAGTGCGCCAAGGGGAGCGAGGAGTCCTTGGCAAAGTCGCTGAAGCACATTCAGGAGCCTCTTGCCGAGCTTTGTTTAGGGTTTAGGGTTTAAGGTTGAGGGATGACGCAGTCATGACGCAGTCATTTGGGGGATGCTTGCCCACGGAGCGACATGCAGGAGAACATAGGTGCGAGTGCTTCAGACTGGAGGCGTCTTTGCTGCAGCATTAATATCAATATGTTGGGGGATCCGCGTTCAAAGTTTTTAGTATATGTTGAGAGCATGAATCTATTAAACGAGTCATGTGTTAACCTATGAAAACACGTCAATCTTCGGGGGGGGGGGTACGGGACTATATTCAGGGACCACGTAACTTCCCTACCCTAAACCCTCAACCCTCAACCCTCAACCCTCCACCCTCCACCCTCAACCCTCCACCCTCAACCCTCAACCCTCAACCCTCAACCCTCAAGCCTCAACCCTCAAGCCTCAACCCTAACCATACATGAAGGGAACCCTAATTAAGAACTGGGGGGGGGGGGGGAGGCGAATCCACGGAGCCCTGGCCCTCTTCGAAGCCCTGGCATCCGAGGGCGGCGCTTTGGTGGGGAGGCGACGTTGAGAAGCACCGGGCAGCGAGGGGTTTGGGGTCGCTTAGGGTTTGGGGGTTAGGGTTTGGGGTTTAGGGTTTAGGGTTTGGGGTTTAGGGTTTGGGGTTTAGGGTTTAGGATTTGGGGTTTAGGGTTTAGGGTTTGCCCCCAATGTGTTCGCCGGAGGTCCTGGTTTGAGGTGAAGATGCAAGGCCGCTTGAAGGAGCTGCAGAAGTTCAGCTTCTTGGCGCGGGGGGTCTATGTGGGTTTAGGGTTTAGGGTTTAGGGTTTAGGGTTTAGGGTTTAGGGTTTAGGGTTTAGGGTTTAGGGTTTAGGGTTTAGGGGGCGGGGTTTAGGAAAGTGAAGCCAGGCTATGACGCAGACCCGCGAGTTGCAGGGCTGGTGCGGCGGGCGGCCGCCTCCGCCAGCAGTGCAGCGGACAGATTGAGCTGGGAGGAGCGAAGTCATTGAGGGCTATCTAGAGCTCCAGATCATCTGCCGACCTCCGGGTTTAGGGTTTAGGGTTTAGGGTTTAGGGTTTAGGGTTTGAGGTTTAGGGTGCCTCAATATTTTACGACACGGGTACTCATCCGCTTGCGAGGACGACTGCGTCTTCGCAGACGAGGTGGGCATGCTTCGCAGAGAGGTATGGCTCGAATGTCCAGGGTCGGCAGCAGCACGGTCATATTTGGGGGTTTACGAAAATAGGGGACCCCAAATAGAGATTTAGATAGTAGGATTCCCTTACAAGAAGGAACCACAAGAAGAAGGTAATCCGACTTTCGGAAACCCCCATAACCCTAAACCCTAAACCCTAAACCCTAAACCCTAAGCCCTAATAATTGGTGTAAAGGCCCCGGAGACTTCCATCGCTTCGGACAAAGTGCCGGAGACACCGCCCGAGTGGACAGGACGCGGAGACCTCAGAGTTGCGTAGAGAAGGACAGTTTAGGGTTTAGGGTTTAGGGTTTACGGTTTAGGGTTTAGCATTTAGGGTTTGGGGTTTAGGGTTCAGGGTTCAGGGTTTAGGGTTTGGGGTACCAGGCTTGGTTTTCATGCGGGCACTGCATAGCACCTTTAGGCTCTAGGGTTTAGGGTTTAGGGTTTAGGGTGATTTGCATAGCAGTAGTTGTGCGTGCATAGTGTCGGGCATTGTCGGGCAACAGTCTCTTGACTACTCGCGGTGCTTTCAGGTATGTAATCTACTAATTGCTTAAGAACCCTTCCCTATTAAGGTTAATGTAGGGTTCATTTTGTTTTTAATTCTTTGGGCTTCTTAAGCAATTAGTAGTAATAGGCACAGGTCTGACGTGCTTTCGCTTCGTGGGATGGAACAAAGGGACTGCTACTGCCGTAACTGCCTACTGTCTTCTACTCCCTCCCGTGATCAAGTACGACTACGGCGACCTGTTACTTTCAGCGCAGATAATAATCAACAAGAGACTTGCCTCACTTTTCTTTCACCAGAGGTGCGGAGGATGCGCCACAGCCCACCGTGATCGGTCACGCGCAGGGCACGGAGGCCAATGGTTTGGGCCGAACGTTCCATCTGCAGTTGACCGGTTGAGAGAGGATGCTGTCGATGCGGCAATGGCGTGGACTAAACATAAGGTCTGAAACAGTGGCTACTGTAAAGCCTGCAGCAAACCTGCCATGCAGGTCACTTGCCCATTTGTTTATCAACTCTACAATGCCAAATGAACATGGGCAAGGTACACTGTAAATATACACACACACACACGGCGGAAAGAGCTGAAGGAAATCTGAGAAGCGAAGCAGCAGTTCTCCATGCTCGTGAACCCTGAACATCCTAAGCCCTGAGTCCTGAACAGCCTAAACCCTAAACATCCTAACCGCCCCCCCCCCCCCCCCCCCCCCCCCCCCCAAAAAAAAATAACCGAAAACAACCTAAAAGCCCTAAAAACATCTACAAACCTTAGCTCGTTGTCAGCTCCTGTAAGGCGCTGAAGCCAGCAAAGCCTGGGCCCGCTCAAGCGCAGGAGCATGCTGTTTTTGGCTGTCTATAGTTGATTTACGGTCTGTCAATTTTATACCCCATGCTCAGTAATGTCATACATATGCATGTAGCTCGAAGCACTGTGTAAATACGTATATATATATATATATCGTATACTATATCATATCATATCGTACCATATTACGTCATAGTATGTTTTTGCCTGTGCCATATGTGAAGGAGCCCACAACCCCGTGGTGCTGCTGCTGCTGCCGGCGACGTGCAGTCGCGCCAGTACAGGCCATGTGCTCCGTAGCCCTTACCCTTGAGGGTTTAGGGTTTAGGGTTTAGGGTTTAGGGTTTAGGGTTTAGGATTTAGGGTTTAGGGTTTAGGGTTTAGGTCGCCAGAAGCAACCGTCAAAGCTTCGCGTGTCGGCCTCGCGCAAACTGCCTGAGCTGATGAGTTGTTCCTGAGGGCATGGTGAACCATGATCCACTTCGCGATACAGTTTTCTACGCGATACATGCTCGTGATGTGCTGCAGAGTCTGTTCTTCTTCCAGCCCGGTCTAATCTTTCTATGAGTGCGACATGTCGTCGCGAGCCGACTGAAACTCCAGCAACCAGCCATGGTGTCGAATGTTTCGAACGGTTGAGTCTGCAGATCAAAGTTAAGATTCTGCCCCCCTCGGAAAGGGTCTGGGTCTTTTGAAGGTCTTCCAACAGGTGGGAGGGGGGGGGGGCGAGCGTGAAGCGAGGAAGAGCTGTTCCGTTGGCTCGGTTCGAGCACAGGTGCTGTGCCAGAAGCATCTTTCGCGTTCAGACTTCCCGCGCAGGCAGTTGCCGAGACATCTCCGAAGCAGGCGTCTGAGGTATCTGCATCTGAACAGGACCATCTTCTGCCCTGAGCTGCGGCAGGAGAAAAGAAGGTCATCCATGCCCCACTTTCTTGGAAGTTCATGGTATTACCGAACCCGAATTATGGGTATAAGTACAATTCTATCACTGGTGAATGAGTTCCATGAACCTCCTAGTTTGGTCTCAGGCAAAGTCACGAGTGCTCGGCCTTGGGTGCAGGCTCTGCTACACCCTGGCCAAAGGGAAAGAGGCTTTCGCCAGATGCTTCTGCCCCAGCTTTCTAGACAACCGCCCTCAATCCACCGTGGTTTCCGGTCGCGGCTGAGTCTACAGACGCAGGCTACGATCCCGCCTTCCCTGCCTGCAGCCCTTGCCAGCCGCGCACCCAGATTGGACTCGGGGTTTGTAGGGTAAAGTGCGGGCCCAAAGTATGGGCCCTTCAACTGATGGGTCCTTGTAATCGTATGATTTTCGCTCTTATCTGTGCTCATTAAAATGGTTTCACTACATGCTGCCTCCTCAACAACCGCCCACGGACCCGGCTAGGGCAAAAGCTCAACCTAGACCCACAGCAGGGCCTTGAGACATGTTTCATGTGTATGTCGCCCCATAGGATCTAAATTGAAGCACCATGCGGACCCCCTTCCGCCGGGCTCCCACCGAACTCACCGAACTGTGCTACGCTGCTACATGGTGCAAAGATCGTGCTGTCTGGCGTAAACTAACGCCCTAAGCGCAGACTGGCCACTTGCGTGAATCGGGATACCCCAAACCCCAAGCCCTAAACCCTGCCAACCAGGACCTCACCTCCGTGCGAAAGCTTCTGTGAGGCCGGGAATGGTGCATTCAACCTGGACGTGCCGTGTGGTTGTCTAGCAATGTCTAGTTTAGGGTTTGGGGGAACTTTAGTCAAGGTTCTGGACTCAGGTTTGCAGTCAGAGGCGCAATAGGAGCACCCATGCGACCTCTCCCAAGACAGTTTTCGTCCCGCTTTGCACCTGCCGTGGTTCACTAGGCAGAAGTCTTCATCGAGCAGCCACTTGGCCTGGTGCCTACATACTGCTGGACTGTCCTGGGTACCTACTGCTTGAGAACCCCAAAAACGAAAAAATAGAAAATCCCCTTACTGCCCTTATAGGGAAGAACATGATTTGTTTTTTTGGGCTTCCTAAGCAAACAGTAGGTGCACAGCACGAACCGCTCACGCATCCGGCCTCGGCGCTGTCTCTACTTGTGCACAGACTCTACTTGGAGGTTCATGGGTACTTGTAAGTAGGGTTACGAGTAGGGTAACTATGGTTATAACCGTCTTTAGGGTACTTATAACTCCACTTTACAAATAGGGTAAATATGGTTGTACCTTTTGTAAGGGTACTTCCAACTCCACTTTTCAGTACCGAATATGCACTTTTAAGTAGCATTGCGGGGTCCAGAGGGGTCTTGCCATGCCAACGCCTTCAGACCTCAGAGCCACCACGCCGCCAGAATTTTTCCCGAGCTTGGACTGAAGATCAAAGTGGGATTTTGGGGTTTAGGGTTTAGGGTTTAGGGTTAAGATTTTAGGGTTTAGGGTTTAGGTTTCAGGGTTTAGCGTCTTGACTATGACCACAAATCCTGCCAGGCGTCTGTAGCGCCAACGGCAATGCATCCAGAGAGAGTTCATCGTAGGTTGTGGAGGAGGTCGTAGAGAGTCCATAGGGGGACACGGAGGTCTGTAGAAAGAGCTCGCAACGCCAACAAACCTACAGCCCAGGTCCATGGGTGGTTCGACGTTCTATAGTTCACAGGGGCAATCACACATATCGCACAAGGCGTCTGGCAACCTGGAAAGGCGAAACTAGCGGGCTTTGGGGTTTGGGGTTTAGGGTCCTTTCACCGCGACGCCTTAGGCCTGGGGCCTCAGTGGTTTAAATGGCAAGCGTTCACCCTTTGAGCAGAGGCGTCTTTCTCTCGGCACTGTCTAGGCTTTCTCCAAGTTAACATACGCCGCCCCTTGGAAACCTGGGCCAGAAGGTCCTTCCTGACAATTTCTGAACTCACAAAGCAGATTCACAACCCCACCAAACGGATCATGATACTCATGATGGGTACTGGGAGGTTCAGGGTACTTATAACACCAATTGCAGCTGTACTTTAAAAGCCCCTTAAGGCCTCTAAGCAGGTTATAAGTAGACAGTTATAAGTGCCCATGAACCTCCAAATAGGCTGTAGTAGGCTCACCACAGCGAGTTCATGCCCAGTGGATGCTGGGCAGGCCGATCAGAACCAGCAGCCCGGGGAAGTCGGGGTAAGACCGGCGGCAATGCCAGCAACAAATGAAATAGTCACCACGGTCCTCATTGCACTCCTTTCTGAACGACACGTCTGCGCTACGATTGCTCGTTCGTTGTCACTATCGCATTGTGTTTCTCAATGACACAGTCGTATCTCACAAGCGAGAAGCATTCGACTGCTTGGCTGTTCACCCTGTCATATTATGATCCCCGAGGTTCCATGTGCCACCTGGACAACGAGTGCAGGGCTCTTACCGCAGATTTTTTTGCAAATGGGTAGTTCTAAATTAGGCTCGCCTATATAGTACGGCGCCCCTTTGTAGGACCCCGAAGGGGACCCTAGTTTGAGAGAACTACCAGGATGTTTCATCACCCTCTCCTCCGTTTGCTGCCATTGCTGCTGATTTTTCACAGGTGGAGGTTTACGAAAATAAGGGACCCCCGAATAAAGACCCCAAAATAGTAGGATTCCCTGTTTTGTAAGGACCCCCCCAATAAGGTATCCCTAGTTTCGGAAACCCCCTGACATGAGCATAACCCTGAACCCTAAACCCTAAACCCTAAACCCTAAACCCCAAAGTTGTAGCACAGGTGGAGGGGACCCCTTGGCTGCCTGCCACCTCGGCGTTTGCCGTCGCGTCCTCTGGGCCGGCCCCGAGCTCGGCTCGCCAGGTGTTCAAACTGTGTCTCCGAGGCTGCCTATCAAGGGTTTTAGGGTTTTAGGGTTTTCGGGTTTAGGGCTTAAGGCTTAGGGTTTTAGGGTTTAGGGGGTCTAGGGTCTAGGGATGTTTAGGGATTTCAGGAGTTCAAGGATAGGGGATACCACGAGATGCAACCCAAACAAACATTGAAAGTGCGTCGATGCATGTGCTGTGCCGTGTGTCCGTGACGCCTCAAGTGGGGGAGCCGGATGTGATGATCTGTCAAGACAAGAGTCAGCAGACCCTAAACCCTAAACCCTAAACCCTAAACCCTAAACCCTAAACCCTAAACCCTAAACCCTAAACCCTAAACCCTAAACCCTAAACCCTAAACCCTTAACCCTAACCCTGAACCCTAAACCCTGTTGGATGCAGAAAACCCCTTCACTTGATAAACCAGCCTAAACCCGACCTTTATAACAGTCGAACACATTCTAGACCCGAGCATGAGCATGGCTTTCTCAGGCGCACTCTACTGTACTGCCCTGTCCCCTAAACCCTAAACCCTAAACCTTAAACCCTAAATCCTACGCTTTTAAGCAGGGCGTGGGTTCTCAGTACGACGCAAAACGTTGCCAGCTGCCGACGCCCTTGCCACAGATGCCGCGGGGGGATGCTCAGCTTGAAACCATGGACCGGCGACGGGTGCCAGCTGATGGTTTTCGAGCCATGTTAGGGTTTAGGGTTTAGGGTTTAGGGTTTAGGGTTTAGGGATCAGGGTTTAGGGTTTAGGGTTTAGGGTTTAGGTTTAGGGTTTAGGGTTTAGGGTTTACCGGTTGAGGGGTCCGATTAGTTTTTCCCAAGTCACTGCTTCCAACGGGATAGCATTGACAGGCTCGCTATGTTACATTCCACAGCCAGGCTCTGTAACGTGGGTTGAACCTCGTGCACTTAAATGTGCAGAGTAGGAGGCTGACTGTGGCATGCGGTGGCCACCCTAAACCCTAAACCCTAAACCCTAAACCCTAAACCCTAAACCCTAAACCCTAAACCCTAAACCCTAAACCCTAAACCCTAAACCCTAAACCCTAAACCCATTCTGGCGTGTGCAGGACTTCCTGCTGTCGAAGGCAGCACGCCTGGACCGTGCCCTGCGCTCGCTGCCCAAAGCCGACCTGAAGTCCTTGCAGGCTCGAACATGTCAGTGTCCTTAAAAACCCGGTTTGGGGTTTAGGGTTTAGGGTTTAGGGTGTAGGGTGTAGGGTTTAGGGTTTCCCAAAGGCTCCTATGTAGTGCCTTTTTGGGGGTAGTACACTCGAATCTCCTTTAAACCAACCCAAAAGGAACTACATTAGAGCCTTCAGGCAAACCCCTATCAACGGACGCTGCATCAGAAGCGCCCATGACCTACACACGTCTGCACCTTGAGGCGTCCTCTCACAAGAAGGCGCGCAAGCTCCTTCGCAGCCTCTCCTACCCTGCGAGACCGCAGGCCCTCTGTCTGACATCCTTGCACTTCCTGCGTTCCTCAAGCGAGGGCTCGAGTAGGTTTGCTACGTATGCCGCTCGCTGCCGTGCCTAAACCCTAAACCCTAAACCCTAAACCCTAAACCCTAAACCCTAAACCCTAAACCCTAAACCCTAAACCCTAAACCCTAAACCCTAAACCGCAAAACCAAACAGTCGGCGCCCCGGAAGGCCAACAGCGACACCGCAGAGAAGATCCAGAGCCGGATCGACGTCCTCACTGGCACCAAGAGCACCTTACCAGTAGAGTAGGCAACCTTTAACCTTTTTAGGGGAATATACTCCCCTTATAATCCCAAAGGTTAACCTTTACTTCCCCTAGCTACTGGCAACTAAGGCACGGCGGTGTCCTCTGCCAAGAAGATGCCGCCGCTGACCGAAGCGCTCCACATGGGGCCGGACATGGCGCCTCGACCCTCATCCGGGCTCGTGCGAGCATCCATGCCACCCAACGATCGCAGGGTGCAGCAGAGTTGAAGAACAGGGTGACACTTGTTGTTGTTGTTGTTGTTGTTGTTGTTGTTGTTGTTGTTGTTGTTGTTGTTGTTGTTGTTGTGGTTGTTGTTGTTGTTGTTGTTCTTATTATACATATATATGTCCCAATGTCTGAGGTGAGTGTCCAAGCTTTCGCCATCGAAGCCCGACAGCCCCTGGCAGAAGACCTTTGCACAGAGGCAGACTTCACTGGATTCACTGCCCACTGCCCTAAACCCTAAACCCTAAACCCTAAACCCTAAACCCTAAACCCTAAACCCTAAACCCTAAACCCCATGTGTTCTGGGTCTTGCAAGGAGCGCAATTGGTCACACGCTTGTTGATGCTCTGGACTGCCCTGGGAAGTGATCGGCCCTGGTAACCCAATTTTTTGCCCTAAGCTGCCCTGTAATTGCTGCTCACTTCCTTCCTTCACGTCACTCCGAGCTTTCAAACGCAGCTTCGCGCGTTTTGCGTTTTGGAGGGTTGCTTGTCGTTTCAGTGTTCGCGCGACCCCAAACCCTATAAACTCCAAACTTTCACACTGGAGGCCCTCCAGCGTACTGGCGCCAACTTGGATTGGGTGCCTCGGCTCGTACAACCACCCAAGGGCACCCCCCCAACAAATTGCCCATTCAAAGAGAAACGTCCTTGGGCTTTGTTGGGGCGTCAGGTCCTTCAGTTATCATTCGCGGCTGGGGTGTCAGCGTTTAGCTTGGTGCAACAAAGGCTTGCCGGAATGTAGCGAAGTTGGTAGGTAATCTATAGATCCCTAAACCCTATAGACCCTAAACCCTAAACATCAGCAAGTAAGGTGCGGCTGAAGCCGCTGAGCCAGCAGTGTGAGGGCCGATGGCCCTCCGAGGAGACTTTCGCGCAGCCTCCCGGATGATCTCAGGGAATCGGGTTTAGGGTTTAGTGTTTTAGGGTTTTAGGTTTTCTCCTGGGTGCTTCAGTTCTTTTTTTTTGGGGGGGGGGGGGGGGGGGGGGGGTGGGGGGGGTTTTAGGGGGTATAGGGGGTTTAGGGTGTAGGGTCTTTTGGGGGCAGGGGCTTGTAGGGTAGGGGTTGGAAGGCATCTAGTGTTTGTAGGATTGAAGCAAGTATGGCAGGTGTAGTCGGCATCCTAAACCCTAAACCCTAAACCCTAAACCCTAAAGCCTAAATCGAACCTCGTCAGGTTCTATGACATCCCCGTGCACCTTCGGCCGCGCCCACGAACGCCTCCCCCGCCTTCGGAGCCGAGTCCCGCGCTTTGCCTGCGGAAAGAGACGAGCTTTAGGGTTTAGGGTTTAGGGTTTAGGGCTTTGGGTAAAGGCAGCCCTAACACCTCTACACGCCCTGGAACCTGCAGAGCCTAAACCATCTGTGGTTAAAAGCTGCTGAAGGCTGCAAACCGCCCACGATCAACCCTAACACCTATATTTTACTGCAAGCTTCAGAGCCCGAGAAACCATAAACCCCAAACCCCAAACCCCAAACCCCAAACCCCAAACCCCAAACCCTAAGCCCTAAGCCCTAAACCCTAAACCCTAAACCCTAAACCCTAAACCCTAAACCCTAAACCCTAAACCCTAAACCCTAAACCCTAAACCCTAAACCCTACACGGAGCTTTAAGGAGCCGCTTCGCCCCACGATCAGCGGCATCGAGGAGGCCAAGGCCCTCGGAGGCCGGCGGCAGGGGCATTTTGGGGGTCTTCGGGTCTTAGTTTAGGGTTTAGGGTTTAGGGTTTACGGATTAGGGTAGCAGGGTATCATAGAGTATTAGGTTAATAGGGCATGAGGCTATTAGGATATTAGGTTTGCGGGTAGTAGAGTAGGGTAGTAGAGTAAGGTAGTAGAGTAGGGTAGTAGGGTATGAGGGTAGTACTGTAGGGTATTTAGGGTGGTATTATGGGATGCGGGTAGTTCTCTCAATTAGGGTGCCTTTTTGACGAGGGCGGCGTCGGGTGGACGGGTGAAGTTCGGGTTCGTTGCGAACGGGGTTTAGGGTTTAGGGTCAGGGTCCACCCTGGTCCCTGGTCCCTGGCTGGGCACTGGTGCGCACATGCCCCGCCAACGCGGTGCTTGGGAGGAGGTAGGGGGTGGGTAGACTCTTGGAAGGTTCCTTAGACCTGGATCTAAGTTTCCGGCATTTGGAGAACCATGTTAGGGTATCTATCTCGCCCCCAAACTAGGGTTGTTTCCCCCCCCCCCTCCGCCCCCGAACATCCGAAACATTCTGAAACCCCTAAACCCTAAACCCTAAACCCTAAACCAAGAGGATCCGAACATCACCGGAGGCACCTCAGACCTTCTCGACGCTCTTCTCCGATCCCTTGCCGGAGACCCTGGCATGGACCTTTGGCTGTAATAAAGTAAGAATAATCATAGTATAGTGTAGTATAGTATATAGTATGTAGTATGTAGTATATAGTATATAGTATATAGTATATAGTATATAGTATATAGTGTATAGTGTATAGTGTATAGTGTATAGTATATAGTATATAGTATATAGTATATAGTATATAGTATATAGTATATAGTATATAGTATATAGTATATAGTATATAGTATATAGTATATAGTATATAGTATATAGTATATAGTATATAGTATATAGTATAGTATAATTAATATTGTCACCTCCACAAACCCATCCAACACGCCGCCAGGGTCGGCGGACCCGAACGGGCGGCGGGGAGGAGTGGCAGAGCTCGAAGCTTGCGGCCCTTAGCATGGTCCCTTACGCCCCTCTTTATCGGGATCCGAAGTATGGTGCCCTTATGTAATTATCATTATAATATATATATATACATTTTTTAAAGCAATATATATATATATATACATAAAGCAGTATATATATAAAGGATATATAACATGGGACCCAAATTAAGGGTGTATACTTGGAACCCTAGAGCCCCAGAAGGGCTGTGTACGTTTGTTGGGGAGGATGCTTCCGAGATCCGAGGAAGACCCGGAGGGCTCCAGGCCGCAGTCCCGGAGCGCACAGAACGTGTTCCAGGCC